AAAAATGTAAGAGAAAGTTATCCAAGTATGTTCGCGAAAAGTTTTTCCAAAGAATTGTCAAGAGAAATTTGATCGAAAAATATGAGTTTTGTTTCCATATATGTCTCTCAATTAATTGATCAGAGAGTAGATAAATCCTTCAAAGGCAAAGATATGAAAAATAATCCAACTCACCGATCGTGTCCTGAGGCTGCTGCTGCTGTTGCGGCTGTAAAATTCTCCGCTCTCTGTCGCTCTGTCTGTCAACGCATGTGGATGTCGCGGTTGGGACGACGCTGAGCGGCTGCTGCGGGGATGTCTTGGCAATTTGCGGCGTCGATGTCCTGTTCTTCGTCCAGGCGTTGACTGCCGGTAAGGGGGCCTCGACGTATTTGACCGGCTGTGGCAGGAGAGATGCCGTCTGTGCCTCCGCCTCGGCGTTCTGATCGTCCCTGTGATGATGGGCCTCCTTCGGACCGTGTTCGATAACGCCATTGCGGTCGCCGCGGTCGGCACGCTCTCTGTGCGATCTCTCGTCACTGCCGCGTCTACCGATGCCCCCGCCCCCGCCCCCGCCCACGTTGCCGGCACCGATACCGACGCCAATGGGACCACGTGGTTGCTGCTGATGGCGGTTGTTGTTTTCGCGTAGCCGGTGACGCTCGCGATGACTTTCCCGATGCTGTTCGCGCATCTTCTCCTTACGACGGGCGCCTTTGGGGGCGACCGTCTGGAACTCGCCGTCGTTGCTGACGTCGCCGTTGTTCGATTCGCCGGCGACGTCGCGTTGGCTATCGTCCTGGCGCCCGTCGACGACACGCGCGCTCGGCGTTCTCGGCAGGTTATCGTAACGGTTATCCTTCTCCGAGAAGTTATCCGATGTTGCTTGAATCGTCGTTCGCGTCACTTGACATCGGGCGATTCTTTGACAGGACTTATCCTTGACCATGCTTGGCATTAATCTCTCCACCATCGTTGTTCCTTGTTGCTGCTGTTGAGATTGTTGATGCTGTTGCGATCCCGTCACTTGCTCGCCAATGTTCTCTTTATTATTACTCTTGAAGGAAGTCGCCCGACTTTGAGATGCGCCCTTTGGATTTAATACACTGGCGTAGGACTGACAAGGACCCGCCTCCTGCCGCTCGCCGTTGCTGCGAGCGCCACCTTGGTTACTGGCTAGCTTGGCCGCCATCTTGCGGCGTACGCTGCCAAGGGAGAAAAACACGAGGTTTTATGCGCACGAGGCCGCGCGTTTTACTCGGTCTTAGGAATTTACTCTACGTCGCCGATCCGGCCGATCGGCGATCGACGATCGACGATCGACGATCGACGGAACGTCGCTCTTGACGATAGCTCGAAGCGATCCGTCTTCTCGCCCTCAAGATTGGCGATTACGGCCAATGATGACTCGCGTACTGTACTACTCACGCGACGAGCAAACTAACCTCGCACGCGTTCTCGCGATTCACATGCCCCTCTCCATACTGAGGGACTTTAGTCACGCGCGCGCGGCTGCTCTTCTCGACGAAGAGAACGCGACGGCGATATCTTCGAGTATTCGTTTTGACAGACAGACACGTCGTCGGAATCTCGCTCTCTCCGTCTTTTTCTCTCTTTCCAAAAAGACGCGCGCGTGGTACGCCGCGACACGCGGTCGTTCGGACAAAGCAGATGTAGTACTTTTATATCTCGCGTATACGTCTCGACGTAACACTCCGCGCGACTTTGACGTTGTAAGATCGCGTAGAAATCGCGCACGGAAACGTTCGTTGACGCGCACGAGATTTTTCGTACTTTGCGGCGGATTAAGCGAACGCGCTGACTCGACGTTTTTACGAAGCAGAAATTCCCGGCGTGTTACCTTTCTACGCCGCTCGTTACGATCTGTACGATGTCGCGAATCACGAGACTATCCTCCAGGTAGCGGACGGTGGTCGGAAGGTTCTCCGGATGCGCAACATACGCGCGATTAGTCGCGAAAAACGTTAGCGGACAGCAGCGGCACTCGAGCGCTTCGCAACCTGGGGATCTATCTCCGGTCTTTCGTCTTACGTCTTTCGTCTTCCGTCGCCGACTTCACGTTGCGCTCGCGACGTAATTCACGGCCGCGTCACACTTGATCGCGAGCACTCGTGACGTTGGAGCTGGATCTCGGCGCGTCTACCAGTACCGGCGTGGCATCGCGTTACCGCGGATTACGTAAACACGGCGCATTTTCGGCAGAGCCTTTTCTGTAGGAGAACGGTACGCGAGACCCGCGAGACACATGTGGCCGTGGCCAATGCTGGCGAGCACACGAGCGACTCACTCGGCTTCCGGTTTCATCTGATCATGCGTACGACACGCCAGATGGCGATCGTAGCTTCCGATCATCCGCACCGCCTAAATTCAAAATTCGAATATCCTCCATGCTTGCGTTCGCCAATCTACTTGTCCGCTAAAATAGCCTTTCATCGACCAATCGGAATGAAGAAATCTTTGCTTCTGATTGGTCGAACAAACGTTACTCTATCCCACGTGTACATTTTCGAAAGCAACCAATCAAATTCGCAACCTATCGTATTTCGAAAAGCGAAAGATTATTGGCTACCGTGGGTGCGTTCCATTTGACAATTACAAATATTTCGAAGCATTTTATCAGAGAGAAGCCTTTTCTCTTCTCTCTGATTTTATTTATCAATTGGAATAAGAAAAAATTTCGCTCCTGATTGATTAATCAAATAATTTTAAACATTTGTAACGACGAATAAAGCGTACCCCGTTTCGTATGGTATGTAAAGCGTTCGATTAAACGTTTTGTAAATCAAGTATATGTAGTATCAAAGTAAAAGGCTTTGTTCGTTTTATATATTACGATATATTATTATCGCTATACAATCTCGCGCTCTTTTTTTTTTCCATTTTCGCGCGTTTATCAGTATTGCAACGATATATAATACGTATCATTATGTATTATATAAAATATCTAAGGTAATCACAATAATCATAATTTTTAACAATTTATTTCGATAATATATAGAATGCTGTACACAATTGCAATTTACAAACATTAAAAAAATGTATTTCATTGAGATCGTGTATAAGTCTATATAAACATAGTTATGTAAAAAATGTATCCCCTATGCTACATGAGTTATCGCTTCATATAGGAACAATTTATTGGCAGATAATCTTTTTTTTATATATTCTCTAATGACAATGACATCGATTACACTATACTCGATTAAATTGACTGCAACAATTGTACTTTTAGTAGCAGACCGTTATCTGCAGTGATCTAGAAATAGTTCGTACATGTACATATGGCGGTCTTTAATAGTAGACAAATTCAATCACAAAATTCCGGAAAAATATTCCGTTATCTAATTAAAAATTTAAAATAATACAATCCTCTGAAACAACATGCATTGATTAATATTGCAAAGTCATCAACTTATCTCGATAGGATACTTCTTCAAAGATCGTTGGATAGATTCAGCTATTGTGGATCTGAAACAAAATACATGTACTATTGAACTTTTCTGTATTCAACATGAGAGAAATATAATATAGAAAATTATAATAAATTTTACCTAAAGACTTTCTGATGAAGAAGATACGCACTAACATGGCCAGCATCGATGTAACGAATTTCAGCTCCTGGCCATATCTTATCGAGGCTCATGCAATGATCTCGTGGTACATAAGCATCGTTTTTCGCGCAAACAGCAATAATTAATTCAGTATCGACAGGCATCTCGAAATTTTTTAAATGTGTGCATTCGTCCATTACACCGCGCATAAATTGCAATGCTTCGTGCTCGCGCCATTTGTTGTCTGAAAACAGTGGATGCTTCGACACTGGCAATAAGCAAACTCCTGCCATGGGGAAAACAATAAATCCCATAAAACCATGCTTACATGCTGCCTAGGATTGCCAAACACCAAGATAATAGATAATAACAAACATATCTGAACAAACATTTAAACTGCTTCAATTTCATCATTAGAAAATAGCAACTGAGATCATTTTCTGTGATTTTCTACCTACTTTTTTTCCCCACAAAGTATCGCGAATTAACAGATACGTTTGTATATACAAAATAATGCTAACTAATCATATGAAATTGATTTACCTTTGAGGGCATTGGGATCCTTTGGTTTAAATTTGTTGGAAATCAGATTTAAGGGAAATATTTTGGCTGCTGCCTTTTCTTCTACGATTTGTTGCTGCAACTGATTGCTCTCATTTTTAGATTCACATTTGGCAGAAATATTATTATCGCTATTATTATTAATAGAGTTTGTACCATTTTTCGTATCATCTAAAGTATTATTGTCTTTACAGCCTTCTTTAGATTCTTTTCTTAACTTATCGACTCTTTTCATACTCGCAGGATAATGCTTTACAAAATGTTGGCCAGCTAAGAAAGCATCCTAAAAGTATATTTAATAAAACAATAAAAGAGTGAAAAAAAGAGAAACTGGCAATATATAAATAGATGCAATACATAAGACACAATAATTATATTTACATCGTGATCAATAATTTTCACCATTTTTGCGAGATCGTCCTGGTATATCTTATTTGAAAAATATTGTGTTTCCAAAAGTGACCAATTTATCGATGCGCTCATTACACCTTCTGTAAATACAGGTGAAGCAGTTGACCATGACAAGCAAGGTACTAACGATATCGGTTTCGGCCAATTGGTAGCTGCTAAAGAAGCCATCTGTAAAAAGAGAACAACATATTTAGAGGTATTATAATATGAAAAGTATAATTTTACCAAAATTAAAACCAACATGTCCACCCATTGATAATCCAGTGAGACCTAATGGACCTAATCCTTGTTGTTCGCACCAATTCAACAAAACAATTGATTCCATTATCAGGCAGCCTCCCATAATAAAAATGTCACACACATTATGCAAACTAGAACGTCTAAAAGAAAGATTACATAATAAGGAGAAAAACTGCAGAATCTTAGCAAAATATTTGCGTGATTTCACTCTAACAAATCTTCTAATTAAGAATTTTATACGAACAAATCTTCCAATTAAGAATTCTTACATTTGATTATGTGGCTTTCTCAGACCATAAAATGGATTTTCCAACAATATTGAGGCTATTCCGGTTTCCTTGAGTAGTGGTTTAGCGATAAGATTTCTACGTCGCCAAAAAAACTAGTTAATAAGTAAAATATAAATATTTTGATAAGAATATATAGAATATCATACCATATTATACATTTCACAAAAAAAAAAAAAAAAAATTAGTACAATAAGGAAAGATATAATTAATATTTACATGATCTCCTGTTCCTGCAAGATGTAAACAAATTGGCTTTATTTTATGGGAACCCCATTTGGTTGGTAAAATCACTTGAAAATAGGCCATTTTGGTATTGTCTGGCATTATCCCTGGGAGATGTTTCTCAAGAGGTGATTCAAATTGACCTTCGATTATATGACAATCTGACCATACTTCATCCTGTCATATAGAACAAAGAGACCTATACATGTTATGATTCTTTGGATAATTATGAAATTAATATTATAGAAAAAAATGTTGAATACTTTTGTTATCTCTATTGGATAGTCAAATGGTATCATATTGTAGCACACTTCTCGATTTGATATGACTTTCCTAAATTCAAAAATCCTGTAACAAAATTGTCACATTTAGATATTGCGGATTGCAAATAATGACATGTCATAAATGTACCTCCTATACATGGAATAATATACAATTATTATTTTAATAAAATTTATGTTACTTATATGTGCTCTAGGCTCTAGGCTGTTGCATTTATTTTGCATATATAACGATTAGTCGTAATCTTTTTGCATTAATTACAAATATCAATTTAGATAATTAAACATTTGGTTGTAGAATTGATAGAAAAATATTAAGTAATCTATAAAGTATTTTTGTTAAATATTATATAATACAAAAAATATATTAAAATAATAATT